CTGAAATTGGCCATTCTGTATAATGAGTACTTTTACTTTTGGTAGTTTTAGTTTAGGTATATTTTGGTGATAATACTTTAGTCCAGTTTTACATAAGAGTTTGAATACAGGACTTTTACATGTAACCGAGCACTTTTACATATCTGAGTGCTTCCTCCACCTCTGGGAGTTACCACAATGTAAGTGTGTGTCGTGGATAAAGATTTAGTGCCTCGTTTATTACACAACCCAGAAAAAAGTAAACAACTAGTTTGCTTCTGTGTATTCTCTCTCTCTCTCTCTCTCTCTCTTACTGTATTACGTAAACGGGTTATGTAATCGCGCCGCTGCAGGCTGGAGAGCAGTTTAAGGTCCAGCAGGACTCAGAGGCAGACAGCCTGGAGTTATCCATCCATCAGCTACTGACATGTCTCCTGTGAAGCTCGACAGTTCAGGTAAGTCGCCTCCATTTTGAGGATGTTTCACTGTACCGGTTATTCACCTGCTGATAGTCTCACTGCGCAGTCTCCGCACGCAGCCACACGCGCGTTTGGAGACCCATATGCACTTGAAAAGCACATCGTTATCTTTAAAACTGAATTTTGCATGTTTACATATTTATAAAGCAGGGGCTGTTATGTTATGTGTTCTGGTGGAGTTGGTAGGGCGATGATCAGCTCTGATCCAGACTGAATGTCATTCAGTACAAACTGTTCTGCCAGCTTCACTCCTGCAGTATCAGGTTTCTGTTTCTCTCAGGCGACATATCATTTAAATAGGGACAGTTATTGCGTTCTTATTAAGATAATGTAGTATTGATAATAGGCTGTAATCGCAGGAGGAAGTACTGTTGAGCTACAGCCAAGACCAAGTACAGTATGTGAGCTGCCGGTCCCGGAAGACTATGTTTACTGTATCAAAGGTAGCCTTATATTGTGCAGAGAAGTTAACCCCTGTCAGTGTTTTACTAAAGGTTTCAGTGTTGCATTACTGCTGTAGATGTGGAAGGCTGAGTTAATTCTTACTAATCCATATAGGCTACTGTTGAATCTACAGCAGGAATCATATTTAATAAGATCATCATATGTTTGTGGTGTGGCTGTCCTGTGAGAACCACGTATCTCTCCCTCAGGCTGGGCTGATTTGTTGGTTCAGAGGGGTTTTGGACATTTTAGCTGGTCAGGATTAATTGGTTTAACTAGTCACAGCTGGACATGGGTGGTTACTATCATGTATGGTCAGGCTGGTCAGGTCTTAAGTTCACTTTAGCTGGGATAGCTTAATGATATGTATTTTATATTTTAAAAACCATGCTCAGTTGTATGCATAAACCCTGTTTCCTGTAATACATTGTTTTGATCGGATTATATTGACCACAAGCCTCTAAATCAGGCTTCTTTCCGTACCCACAAAAAAAGTCCAGAAATAAATAATTAAATTAAAGGAAAACAAGGACTTGTTTTGAAACCTCCACGGCCACCTTCATGTACTGTTAAATGTTATATATATTAGCCAATTAAAGCATAAAGTTAATGACAAACAATTATTTGTTGTCTGTAAGTAGAAGAGTGTAAACATTAAGGTAAAAAATGTCAGAGCCCCTTACCAAAATGATACCAGAATGTATAACATTTATAAAATACTACACACATATCAAATGATTTTAAACAGAAAAATAATGTATTACACAATTAATACATTTCCAATTTTTTTCCAAAAACACAATTTGACAAACTGTCTATAACAAAATATTTGTCAAGTTGTTTCCTCACACAAATTATCATTATTTTTTACCAGGTCGTGTAATGTAGAATCCCTCCAGCTTCCCCTCTGTCTTCTCCATGTTGTGAGTCTTTACCCATCCACCAAAATACATGAAAAGAGACAACAATTAGCCTTGTGTTTTGCTCAGGCTATTTTAATGCACTGTGATATCAAAAAGTAACATTTGCTGAATTTCCTTTCAATTTCGATCTGAAAAAAGTAATACTTTTTACACGTTATCATAATCTGTGTGATTAATCTCAGCTAAATACCTGTAAACACAGCAAATTGATCTGCAACCAAAGCTTGAAGAAATATGTTTATACACTGAGCTAATAATGGACTTACATTTGTTAAGTGACTCCAAAAAAATAGGGTACTATTGTGTCTGCACGGTATATATTGCTAACATGTTAGCCAAAAGCATTTTTAAGCCAAGATTATATAAAAAAGTGTTGTAACCAGACAAAACGGTCAAACAGTTTTCTCACATGCACAGTACTGATTCTGACACCAATTTGGAAATGAGCACTCAAAAACAAATGGCTCAGAACCTATGGGAAAAAATCCATACTTTCCCATCCTGATCTTCCAAAAGACTTTGGAAACGCGCCTCTCTGAAGGAGGGTTGTTGATTGCTGTTGGTCTCAGAAATACGATGGCTGGCTCAGAGCTCACTCATTCTTTCTCCCCAGAATGTGGATATGCAACACAAAGAAGGGATAGCAGAAAAACAATAGTATTAATTCAAATTCAATCTGATATCTATAATTAACAAGACTAAAAAAGGGCTGTAGCAATGACAACAACTCATGTACCACCTTATTTGAAGGGGTTTGAATAAGACTGATAAGTCCTTTTTTTTTAAATACTCGTCTGTATTTAACAGACGAGTATTCCATCCATTACTGGATCTCCAAAATATATTACTGTACATATGTAAATTAAGGCATCACATATATTCCCTAATAAATAAATAGTTTACATTCATTTTACACTCAAAGATTATTACTGTTAAGAACAAGCCACTCCCCGGCTCTAGTGCTTGGGTAAATAGGGCTTCAGCCCATGGCAACAGTGGAGCTGACTGTTAACAGTAATTTCAGTCACATGTTTTTGTTAACGCTGGAATCTGCCATGAGGAGTTCAGTTGAGTTCTGTGTTAATATGGGTTGAGGTTTGTCAGACAAACACTGTAGTGAAACCAAACAACACAACGTTTCTGTGATCCAGCTGTTCTTCCTCCCACTGAGGGACCAAACATAGCTGCATGTTTACAGCTGCCTCTCTGTAAACACATGGACCAAAATAAACAGGTGCCAGTTCAAGTTCACAGTCTGTTTCAATCTGTGTAACTGTACGTGTTAATGTACAGACTTTTCACTACACGACATCCTACAAACTTTGAAATAAGAAATAAAAATCTGTCAGGTTGAAGTTCAGGAAGGTATCACAGCTTGTTTGTTGAGCAAACATTACATTTGTGTACACAACAGCCACCATTTTCAGTATTCCACTGAATTTATGAGGGTTTTATTCCAAATAGCCTTTATTTCAAGTTAATGTTACATTTGTAAGTAAAGTATTTATTAGCAGCAAGTGAACAGATTGAAAGACCATGAAATTGTTTACAACTAAAGTTTTATACCTATAAATAGCTTGAAATGTATTTAAAAAAAAGAGCAAGTTGAATGTTGCATTTGAGCACCTCTTTTGTACATTTTGGCACAGTTACACCAAATATTTTTTATTTAAATATTTGACTATATTCATATATCCAGACGTATTTATATTCACTCTGACAGCAGAGGTTTAAGAAGAGGCTGCTCATACGGCTCTCAGCTTAGAGATAAACAAGTCGACATCAAACTGATGAATCCTGCTTGTTGAAATATAAATACATATGTTGGCTAAAAATTGCAAATGCAAACAGTGCAGTCAAATACATCCTATGTTGTCCTTCCACACAAAAATAGGGCTCTTATCAAAGTATGCCATATATTGAGTCTATTTTTCATTGGACATTGTTGCCTAATAGTTTGACTTAAGATAAGGAAAATTAAATTAGTTTCTCCAGATATTACCCTGGCTCAGCAGCCAAAAAGCAGCAAAACAGTTTGAATTGAACACAGCAGCAGCATAGATGGCCATGTCCCTAATGTCCATCTGGTTTAGGTATGATACTGTAAATGTGTGTGTCTCCTACAGATGATACAAAGCCTGTTGATAATGGCAATGCGAAGGAATGCATAACGTCAGTGCTGAAGGGACTGGAGACAATTGCACCTCTGGTCCGCTCTGTAGAAGAGACCCCTGAGCCAATCTCTACCGAAGTACAAGGCACCATTCCTTCCTGGATCAATGGCAACCTCCTTCGCAACGGCCCGGGGAAGTTTGAGTTTGGAAACACACAGTGAGTTTGGAAACACCTCAACACACACATAAAAAAACGTAATCTGTGATTAAGCCTTTTCCGTCTGTATTTCATCCCAGCTACAACCACTGGTTTGATGGGATGGCTATGCTGCACCAGTTCAAAATCGACAAAGGCCAGGTGACATACATGAGTCGGTTCCTGCACAGCGATGCCTACAAGAAGAACAGTGAACGGAACCGCATCGTGATATCAGAATTTGGTACCATCGCCATGCCGGACCCCTGTAAAAACTTCTTCCAGCGCTTCCTGTCTCGCTTTGAGATGATAGGTGAGGAGAATACACAAGAAGTGGTGGAATAAAGCAGTGGTCTTCAAAGTGGGGTCTTGGGATTCCCAGGGGTCCTTGAGAGGGTTCTAGGGGGTCGTCATAAAAAAGGGTAATTTTCACTATAAGTCCATCCATAAGTAACACATTGATAGACTGTATGACTTTGGTGATAGGTTTCATACACTTTCTGTGGCTCAGAGGCAGAGCGGGTCATCCACTTATTGGAAGGTTGTTGGTTCGAACCCCCACAAGATACTGAACCATGAAAGCACTTTGAGTGGTCGGAAGACTAGAAAGGCGCAATACAAGTACAGGTCCAGTGACCATTTACCATTTATTTGATCAAGGACGCTGGGACATAATCTAATATAAAAAGGGGTCAGTGACCTAATTTGTGTCAGGTTAGGGGTCCTTGACCAGAAAAAGTTTGAAAACCTCTGGCATAGAGTATACATGGATAATGTGTGACAAAGGAGAGGGCTCATGGCAATCAGTTACAGTTGGTTTGTTGATTCATTGCTCAACAATGTTGCTTCACTGAATTTCAGTCTCTGAGGTATAAATGAATAAAAGCACAGATTTTTGAGAACTTGGTCATTTGAGAAGTGGCAGGAGAGCCAGAAGTGAGATTACGTGAAAGAAAAGAACAATTTGTTCAGTATCATTGTTTGTACAAACTCTGCTTTGGTCTGTGGTGAGGCCAGAAGTGGAGCCCTTTAAATTTCTTTTTTTCTTTTTATACACCAAGATTACATAACACATGCTACAGTGGGGAACAAGGCATTTCCTAAATGTTTCACATTCCTAATATACTTTTCAGTAACCAAAAGCAGCAAATTGTGTGGCAGAATGGTTTACCAAGATGGCTGTTAAAGGAGGAACGCTTTCATCTATTTAAAAGGCCTCTGTGTTTTTCTCTCTGTTACAGAGCCCACGGACAATGCGAGTGTGAGCTTTGTGAAATACAAAGGTGACTACTATGTCAGCACGGAGACAAACTTTATACACAAAGTGAACCCAGAGAACCTAGAAACATTGGAAAAGGTACACACATACCAGTTTATATGCAACATATACACATATTTTCACAGCAGTGTCACACACTGATCTTTCTCATTCTCTGCTATGTTTTGTAGGTAGATTGGAGCAAGTTCATTGCTGTAAATGGAGCCACTGCCCACCCACACTATGACCCCGACGGTACGACCTACAACATGGGAAACTCCTATGGAAGCAAAGGTCAGCCCCATCACCCACAAGACCCATATTAAGATTTACAGAAATCAACAGCGCTCAACAGTTTCCTCTATAATAAAAACGAAATAGTGTTCACTGAATATCTGTCATCGCTGGCTCACATCTCATCTTTAACCTAAGAGATGTCAGAGGAAATGTGTGTAAAAGCTATTACAAGGTACATTATTATTGCAGGCGCCCTGTACAACATCATCAGAGTACCTCCTGAGAAGACAGACGCCACAGACACCCTGCAAGGAGCCAAAATACTCTGTTCTATTGTGCCTGCGAACAAGTCCCATCCCTCCTACTACCACAGCTTTGGTAAGCCAGCATTCATTAGTGATATCCATCTTTCACACTGCTGCCCTCAGCTACTGTACAAAGCCCAGTAATACCGTTCTCCTGCTTCCAGCTATGTCTGAGAACTACGTGGTGTTCATTGAGCAGCCAATTAAGATGGACCTGCTGAAGATAGTCACATGCAAGCTGAGGGGAAAGGCTTTGAGCGAGGGCATCTACTGGGATCCCAAGCAGGAAACTGTCTTCCATCTTGTTGACAAGCGTACAGGCGAGGTGAGATGAACACTACTGGTGGAAAATAAAAAAACATCCTGCTTTAGATGCTGGATCATCTAATCGTGTTTTCTGTACCACAGGTCAGTTCTGTGAAGTACCACACCAAAGCAATCTCCACCTTCCATCAGATCAACGCCTTTGAGGAGGATGGACTCTTGATGCTTGACATGTGCTGCGCAGACGACGGCCAAGCCATCAACAACTACCTCATCCAGAACTTACGCAAGTCAGGAGACGCATTAGATGAGGTCAGCATCTAAATATGCACACACACACACACACATAAAAATCCACCCTCGGATACTGTTAGATATCATCAGAGCAATCCATATTTCTTTTGCATTGTGCTTCAGTTTTCAAGTGTACTGCTGTTTTATACATCACATGTTTTCAAACCTACTGTAAGAAAAGAATCCCTAAAATGTGCAAATCCTGCATTGTTCCTGACCGTGTCCTTCCCAGGTGTACAACGCCATGTGCAGAGCTTTCCCTCGGCGCTTTGTTCTGCCCCTCCATGTGACGAGTGAAACCCCCACAGGCCAGAACCTGAACACTCGGCCCTCCAGTACGGCAACGTGTGTCAAAATCAGCAGCGATAAGGTGAAATTGAATTGTATATTATAGTCTCTTAAGTAAGTAATATTGTGCAGTACAAAACACGTCACACTCCAAGAGACTAATAGTGGTGGAAGTATTCAGCTTCTTTACTTACACAGAATGGTTACAATACCTTGATGTAAAAAAAAATCTACTTAAGTAAAATGACCGTAGTGTTATTGAAAAATACATTGATTATTGAAGTATTATTACATATGCATTAATGTGTTAGCAGCATTTTCCTTTTTGAATTACTTCTAAACTACTGGGTAGTTAAATGTATGTTGTAATCCCCATAGTAACTAGTTACTAGTTGTTACAATGTAGTGAGTGATATATTTCCCTCTGCAGGTTAAATATACAGTTACTTTCCACCAGTAGAAATGAATCATTCCAGACACTGAAATTGGTTGTAGAATGGGAAAGATACATCTACTACAAAGTTACACTAAATATGTCACCATCATGGGATTGTTGAATATAAAAATATAATAATAAAGAATGTGATTTAGGTAATTTATTTTAATTAAAAGAATATCACAATTAATTTTCTCCTATTTTTCTAAATTGCTTCTACAATGACTGAGTGTTAATAATACTGAAAATAATATTTAAAATGTGTTACAGTAATTGCGAATACACAGTCCCAGAGGTACAACTCCAGTCATCATTTCCATCTATCAACTTTTGTGTGTTATAACAAATTTAAATAATTAAAATTCACAAGATCCAGCTCATGACACCAAGAGAACTCAACACAGAAACTGTCAGGTGGTTAGATTTACTGAAGGCAAAAGCAACAAATAAACCAAAAGTCTTCTTTTTCATATGAGCGTCACAAACTGAAGCTGATGGCCAGTGAGCTCATGGACACGACTGATTTCACTGCATGTCCGTAGTAAAAACTCTATTGACTATAAGTGACAATAGACAGTTGATCCTCTCTTTGTCAACAGGTGTTTTGCCAACACGAGAATCTCCATGGAGATGACCTCCAAGAGTATGGTGGCCTGGAGTTCCCTCAGATCAACTACAAGAGATATAACACACAACCATACCGTTGTTTCTACGGCTGTGGCTTCAGACACCTGGTGGGAGACTCACTGCTCAAGATGGACCTGAACAACAAGACGCTCAAGGTGTGTGTGTGTTGTTTGTTTTTTAATTCGTGTAATTAAACAAGTTTATTGTCTAAATAACACAACTTCCCCCGTTCTAAAATACAACCCAACTATGTGCAACATAGCAGAAATGTGTCAATGGTTTTGACCACATCTAGTCAGTCTACATTTATCATTCAATCAATCAATCAAACTTTATTTATATAGCATATATTTTATACAGTTTAGTGCAATTCAAAGTGCTCCACAGATAGACAATACTATAATACAAAAGAATAGAAAAATACAAAAAGGCAGAAATAACAAACAAATAAAACAATATATAACATAAACATGTTACAGGGATATTTTGGGAAATTTGCTTTTCAGTTTTCATGGAGATAGACAAGAGGATGGATACCACTCTCATATCTGTCTGTTAAATATAAACATAGAGCCAGGAGCCTTTATCCTAGCTTAGCATAAAGACTGGAAACAGCTAGGTTGGCTATGTCAGAAGGTAACAAAATCCAACAACCAGTGCCTTTAAAGCTCAATAATGAACACATTATTATCATGTGTTATGTGCCAGACTATTTCTTGGCTGAGAGTCAAGACAGAGCCAAACTATCTGTTTGTCTCTTTCCTGTCTTTAAGCTAAGATAAGCTCCAGTGTCATGCCCCTAGGGAGTAATGAGTACAACTAGAGACCATTTTGCGATAGGATCGCACCACTTACAAAGTGTGTCAACATGTTGATGCGCCGACCCATGAGTACTCAGTGGTCATTACTACATTATTACATGAGTACCCTTGGTTTAAACCACCCCTTCGCCCTCAGCCTTCACAGCAGAAATATTGACATGTCATATCAGGAGACTCACAGGTATATTAATTATTGCTGCATTCCACTTAGGGGAAGCCCTGCTATTGTGCGTGCTGGTTTATTGTCACTGTTACTGGACACTGAGCTGTTGTTACTGTTATTAAGTTTATCTGTATTTCTCCTGCTGTGACAAAATGTTGCTGGGCAACAGTCCATAGCAACCACACACTCTCTACTGAAACACTAAGCTTCTATTACTGAATATGTGTGTGTGTGTGTGACCTCAGGTCTGGTACCAGAAGGGTTTCTTCCCATCAGAGCCTGTGTTTGTGCCGTCCCCTGATGCCGTGGAGGAGGACGATGGTGTCATCCTCTCTGTGGTTCTCACCCCCTCACAGGTAAGAGATTAAAGATGGACAGGAAATGTTGGAAAACCTACAGGAAGAGAACTAAGATATTTTTTGGTTTAGTAATAATTTAGTAAAGGTTTAGTATTAAAAGTAGTTAGTAGTCATCAGTGTTATAATTTTTCACTTCATAGTTTATTTCTCTGACTTTAGAACAACACACGGTTTCTTTGGTTTTAGTTATCACCAGACAGGAGGTCTGTAAGTCTATCTGAGCACAGCACTGGACACATAATCCATCGTAAATATTCATGAGGGAGCAGAGTCATAAATATTCATAGATGAATTTAAAACCAAATTAACTTTGATAGTTTAAAGTTTTGAATTACACACAGAAAAAACAAAACTTTCTAAAGCACAGAAGCCTGTATGTTAGTAGTGGCATTAATATGAACCATATGGGGTATTAAGTCTGCAGAGAGAGAGAGAGAGGATTACAGTTACATATTACAAAATAATTACAAAGATTTCTGTCAGTGGGATTTTTGTTGGAAATTGGAGCAGGAAGAAAATGCTACTTTGGGTCTGTGTATAAACTGAACTGAAGGATTTGAACAGGAAGATAACAGCAAATGAGTTAGTTCTACATATTACAAACTTTTAATTGAAAGTTAAATCCTATTATTTCTATTTTAAGGGCAGACAAGCGCGAACCGTCTTGAGGTGTTGTTGTTGTGCCCCCTCCTGACAGAATGTCTGGCAGCTTAAATCCAAGTTGTGCCGCAGCGTATTATTATCCTCCTCTCCTCTCTTAACTACGCTGTTTCTGTAAAGCACATCAAGTAGTGAGTAAGATTATTTATACAGCACCTTTCAGGAGAGCACAATAAAAGACAAGAAGGCAAATGAAATGCAGACATAAAGCACATCAAATGTTGAGGGATAATTAAAGCTAAAATTAAACTGTGTCGTGACCAGGAGCAGTTTGATATAGTCTGTCAATCAGTACTGTGGAAGTGGACTTTGAGAGTGTGCAGTGCTAATGCAAAATATTTCTAAAGTGGCAAATTAAATTTCCTCAATTGATTTTGTGAATTATTCATTTATTTAACCCGGATAAAAGTAATTCTCTGTGGCCTTCCGCACACATGCACTTTTCAAAAGATGTTTTGGTCCTTTAAGGCGATCAGAGCTGCTCTTTAAAAGAAATATGTAACTGTGAAACACACAGGAAGCTGCGTGTTGGAGAAGAGTTATACATGTACTATCAATGGCGTTATTCTGATAATAAGCTCTTGGTGGTTTTCGATAGTAATTTCACACAACTTTTCTCTCCAGGATAAAGCAACATTCCTCCTGGTTTTGGACGCAAAGACATTTGAAGAGCTGGGAAGAGCCAACGTTCCCGTTAACATGGCTTATGGCTTCCATGGTACCTTCAGTGCCTCTGCATAAAACTATTTGTTGCATTGAAATTTTTTCTGATATTGACTATAACACAGTGTTGATGATTATAACCACTATATTCCTGATTGTACTGAGTTACTGATGCACTAGAAGATGAAAATGGATGCAGTGTTCTGCTACGGACTGAGTACTAATGAGGTACTTTTTAAACTGATCTCTGTTTTTTAGTAACATCCAACAGTAGTGGCATTAAGACACCAATAATAAACCCAAAGATACTCATATTATTATTAATTATATTCTTTTTGTATCAACCTGAAACATACATACTGTTCTCAGGAGAGCACTCATGATTTGTTATACTGTGTACGCAGTATAAGACATTCCAACTACCAAGTGCCAAATGAACATTTTCTCAACAAAAATGATTTTGTATTTTTTTGTATTTTTTACAGGCTGAATGACTTTTATACACAATAAAATGTTTACCTCTGTGAACGGTCAAGTGTGTTTACAGAGTTGTGGATTGTTTGTGCATCCTACACACACACACATACACACACACACACACACACACACAATCTCTGCCAAGATAATGTGCAGCAATATTTTCATATATAAAAACAGCTGTTTTATATTCGGACTGGATTTTATTCGTAGTTTTATCATTTATATTGCATCAACACATTACACAGAGAACGACATTGAATGGATAACGCTCCAGACAGTTCTTGATTGGAGTTTTTTAGTTAGAAATCACATTTCCTGTTATTTTTTACCCTAAAATGTATACTTTTTATATTTGCTTAACTTTCTTCTCATTTCCTTCTCTTTATTTGTTGCTGAATTATAATGATATATATATTATTCTCAGTTATTTAATTCCAATTGTTTTTTTTCCCCAAAATAAATGCACAGAAAAAAACATACAAAATTTCACACTATTTTTAAGTCTTTGTCTTACAAAAATTTTAATATTTCAATGCTCAGTGAAAAACACTTTCCATTATTAACATCATCACAGCCTAGTAGTCAAATTTGTGTTTGTATTGTGAATTATAAATTAAATACATGTATTATTATTTGAATGGTTTATTTGAGGGTTTTAAATGAACATAATACACAATGACAATAATACACAGTTACAACTGTTGCTTAAATATGGTATGGTCTCTCATATACATTTTAATTATATAAATTTGAAAGACACTATCAAACACAAGGTATAATCTATTATCAATCGTGTTCCTAGAGGTCAAAATTTGGGAAACCCCTTTACTGGGTGGAGGATATCCTTTGATGGTATGAAATAATTTGATTCACTGTATAATAACAAATACATTACAATGTAACTTTTTGATACTTTATGCTCTACAATCCAGTGCTGAACTTATTTTATTTTTAAACCCTGAAACGCCAAACCAATAAAAACGTGCTAAATGGCTGCGACTGAGGTTTTTCTGTCTGCTGCAACAAATTCACACATCATCCACTAGAGGTCAGCACCTGATGCCATTTCAGGCACCATCAGTCTGAATCTGCAGTCAGGACCTAAACTCACTACCTGACAAGGATTTTGTTAATAAAAATGTCAAGGAGAAAAAAAAAAACATAGTACAGAGAGAAAAACCTGTCACATGGAGCTTTGCGTTGTTTGTGTGTGTTGGGACAACAGAAAGACTTTGGTGTTTGTGATCAGCAACAATGCAACTTCTCCCTTCAGTGACTGCGTTGCCGTCTGTACCGTAACAGTCGTAAACAGCAGCCCTTTCTGCTTTCAGCTGCATGATTGTGAATCTTAACGGATCCACTCTCTGGCTCATACAACTGTTTCAACAAAGGGGTGAGGCAGGAGCAACGTCTGTAAGGGAGGCAGGCTCAACATGGGCACACAGACTATAAGAGGGATCAAACCTGTGACCTTCTGACAATTGGATGGTCTGTAACCGCCAGCCTACCCTGCCACTTCAAAAACGTACAACAAACACTGGAGGAGCCTGGCTTTGAACCACAGAGGGGTTATATCCAAGTCTGTGACCTTAACAACTGCATTTATAGGACACTTGAGACAGAGCGCCTCAACTGGACAGAGACAAAAAAAAAAAAAAAATAGATTTGTGATGTTCAAGAGTGAACTGGAACAGGAGACAAGACTACTATCACACCTTGGTTCAAAAAACAAAACAAAAAATTACATTTGGAATAGATCAGACTCAAAACAATGGATTAAAGCAGAGGACTAAATGCAGCTTGCCAATTCACTTTTTTAGGCTGCGTGTGTGGCCACGATGAACAGATGCGCATTTCCATAGCGGAGTGAACAAAAGGGAAAAGAAAAAAAAACTCTCCCGGTGGTTCCTGACAGCCGATTAAAGCAACAGGACCCAAACTCTTAAAAGGAAACCTCTAAATCTAACAGTTTTTTTCAGTCAATTTAAGTTTTTAAAGTTTCAGAGAGTACAGAACATTCATTATTGATGGTTACAACTAGGACTGCAGCTGGTACATTTTGTTAGAACAATTGTGATTTCTTAAAATCAAAAAGGATTTTAAGAACGATATGCAACCATACACTTGTTTTCACTGTCTGAAACTTTCAAAGACTTCCTCATTAACTACTCATCACTGACCTCTGAGCATTATTCTCTACAGGGAAGCACAATCAATACATTTGTGTAATATACTTTGTATAAGCAGCCGAAGGAATGTGGCAGAGCAAGATAAAATAAACCTATCAAAAATAATTACGGTGATAAATCAGAGATTTGATGTGATTTCACTGAACAGGAATCCACCAGCTGCGTCTTTTGATTTATTCTGCAAAGTGAAGTGCTGACAGATACTTTCCCCGTAGCAAGTCTGGAAGCAAACAAATCCCTGTTATTATCCTTTGTGTTGCTGCTGAACTTAGTTTGGTCACCTACAGTATAAACATGTACCAGGCAGCAAGGAATGTATAAACAATCATTTTCATATCGACCACTCAACGTTGGTTTAATTTTCTTATTTAGCACAGATTGACTGTGCTACAGAGAGCGGGCAGCGGTTTTGTAATCTCTATTGAAGCAGTCAGCATTGACTCAGGTCAGGAATTGTGATTTCCTTGCAGGATAGTAGCTTGTGATCAGCGGTGGCATAAGAAGCACAACGTTTATTTTTAGCTTGTTTCTCGTTTGTGATATGAATAGCCCTGAAAGCTGCTGCCTTCTGTGTAAACTCATGAAATGTTTGAAGTCAGACTCCACTGCAAGCAAGCTTTCGCATTACACAGTCCGTTGATCCATTGTTAATATAAAAGAAATAAAGGCCAGCTTTAACTATTAGAGTCATGGTAGGTATCCACTACAGCAGGTCTTGAGTTGTGTCGTCAGTATAGAGTTAGCTCAGTCTGTACTAAACCAAAAACTGACAAACTAAAAGAAAAAATACAGTAAATACACAATGTGGCCATCAACCAAAGTGATTTATCAATCCAGTGTAATTATATATTATTCAAAACTGTTCACCTGCCCTGCACACACACACATTTCACTTAATCAGAAAAGAGCTGAGACACACAAAAAGCTGCACATTATTTAAAGTCAAAAATCTACT